GTCATAAAGATTATTCTACAGAGTCAATCTGATATGTCATTCCCTTGCTCAAAATCTCAGCAGCTTCTCATTGCCTCCAGGATCAAGTCCAAAGGGCCCTTTGTGATCGGGACTCTTGCTTCCCTCCACCCATTTCTCTGCACTTCATCTAATGTTTGGTATGCTACAGCTACTCTCATTATTATTTTTTAAAGATTTATTTATTTTAGAGACAGAATGCACAAGTAGGGGGAAGGATAGGAGAGACAATCTCCAGCAGACTCCCCACTAAGCAGGCTCACAACCCTGAGATCATGACCCAAGCAAAGACCAGGAGTTGGATGTTCAACCAACTGAGCCACCCAGGTGCCCCTCAATTCTTTTAAGTTCTCAGAATGTAATACCTCTGAATTTTTTTCACATGCTGTCCTTCCATTTGGAAGACCCCTTCTCCCAATCTAAACCCTCTACATGACTATGTCCTACTGCTCCATCAGATTTCAGCTTCCAAACAACTTTCTGTGAATGGATTTTCCTTACTGTTCTTCCGTCTCCCCAAATTAGGTGATTCCAGAGCATTCTGTGCTTATCCCGTCTTTCCCATCTTGTATTCTAATTGCCTGTCTACCTGTCTTCATTATATTCCCCTATAGTCTGTAAACTCCTTGAGGGCAGAAACCGTATCTTATGTGCTGTTGCAATCCCTGAAGAAAGGCCTTACATATCTTATCTTGTTTAATTAGCACAATCACCCTTTATGGTAGGTACCACATCATTTCTTTTATTTATTTATTTATTTTTTATTTATGATAGTCAGAGAGAGAGAGAGAGAGAGAGAGAGAGAGAGAGAGAGGCAGAGACATAGGCAGAGGGAGAAGCAGGCTCCATGCACCAGGAGCCCGACGTGGGACTCGATCCCGGGTCTCCAGGATCGCGCCCTGGGCCAAAGGCAGGCGCCAAATCGCTGCTCCACCCAGGGATCCCGGTACCACATCATTTCTATTTTACAAATAAGCAAAGAGAGTAGAGAGTTTAGGAAACTTGTCCTGAGTTACCAAAATATATCAAAGTCAGAATTTAAAGCCAGACAGCTTGATATTAGAACCAGTCCATCCCTAAATCCTTCACCTTTAATTTAAATCCCTTCTCCACACAATTTGGCAGTAACCTCCCTAAAACACAAATCTGACCAGGTTTTCTCTTTGCCACCCTCTCTGCCTGCCTGGCATATCCCAGGCACCCAGGTCTGCCTACCTGACATCTCCTCTGTAATCTGGCTCCCATCTGCCTTCTTGGCCTGGTACCAGCCATGCTCTAGGGCTCGATGCTGCTGCTCCAGAAGCACCACCCATTTCACACTCATATTTCTCTAAGTGTTGGTTTATCTACCAGAATGTTTCTTGTCACCCTATCCTTCTGGAGAAATCCTGTTCCTCCCTAGAACTCATTCCATGAAAGTATTCATGGTCACTCTTTCCCCATTCCTTTGCAGGCACTGGAGTGACTCCTACCTCCACTCTCAGAAACTATGTGACTTGGGCAATTACTGTTTTAGTTTCCTCACTTGTATAATGGCAGCAGTAAGACTGTCTACTCAGAGAATTGCTGTGAGGATCCAATGAGAGGATGGAAGTTAAGTACTTAGCACAGGACTAAGTACTCAAGACATTTAGCAATTATTTACTCACCCCTATTTCTCTATGTAGCTGGGCCTCTACTACCCAAGTTTAACACTACAGTATGGTTTCTTCACACGGAAAAAGAAATCATCCACATATCACTTATATTTTAGCACAGGGCCTGGCATATTTTGCCTGTCTTATTAAGTAATTGAACTGGAATATTTATTCTTAAGGGCAGAGAGAGGGAGAGAACATCTTAAGCTAGTCCGTGCTGAGCATGGAGCCCAATGTGGGGCTTGATCTCACAATATGAGCCGAAGCCAAGAGTTGTAGGCTTAACTGACTGTGCCACCCAGATGTCTCCCTCAAACTGGACTATTTAAATACTACCCATCTTTCAAGGCCAAGTTCAGTTTCCATTTCTACCACTAATATTTACCTAATGAATCCAGCCCTTTGGATTTTCTCTTCTCAGAAATTCTTTTGTTTAGTTTTTAAAATTTTTAAAAAAGATTTTATTTATTCAAGAGACACACACACAGAGGGAGAAGCAGAGACATACGCAGAGGGAGAAGCAGGCTCCCTGCAGGAAGCCTGATGCGGGACTAGATCCTGAGACTCTGGGATCATGCCCAGAGCTGAAGCAAGATGCTCAACCACTGAGCCACCCAGGCGTCCCTTTCATTATTTATTTATTTATTGATTTATTTATTTATTGATTTAATGTAATTTAGAAATTCTTTTCTTCTATTAAAGATTTACTTACTTGAGAGAGAAACCCAAGCTGACTCTGCTCGTTGAGCACGGAGCCTGACAAGGGGCTCAATCTCATGACTCTGAGATCACAACCTGGACTGAAACCAAGAATTGGTTGCTGAACTAACTACACCACCCAGGCGCCCTTCAGAATTCTTTTACTACAGCTTGACTGATGATATGCGGTCTTGCATATGTAGAAATGTCGGCTCAATGAGGCAGACATCATCTTTTACATTGTCAATCTGCCCAACAATAGCTAATGTAAAGTGAGTGTTCAACAGCTACTTGTGAATGAACATATTCTTGTCCCAGCAAGAGAAGCCTCACCTTATCACTCGTAAGTCCTCCATCTCTAAGAATATTCAGCGAAGAATTCATCTCCTGGATCTCCTTCCCTTGACTTTGGGAATTCAGCTTATAACTATGTGAATATGCATTTATTTCTATGCCTGTTATGGTTTAGGCTTCCCTTTCCTTGTTCACCTCCCTCAAAGCCCGGTAGAGGGCACTACACCTGCGATGGCTGCTTGTGTGGGTGTGGCTTGCTCGCTGCAGATATTCTCAGTGGCAACTCTCCGAGTTACTTTTCTTTTGCCAGCGTTTTCCATGCTCAGGCCACACCGGCTTAAAATAAATGCTGCTGGATAATAATAATGGTGACTTCATCCCTGCCACCCTGTATATCAGATGGCTGAGAGGCTTGTTAGCATAATCGTCACTCAACCATGTTGGAGCAGTGGAGGAACGCTTGTCTCTACTCTTTGGAACATGGGCAGGAATAGCTATTTGAAGCACTGCAGAGCAGTCTGTTCTGGTTGCCTGGCCCTACAGTGTGGGAGTGAGGAAGAGTGCACGGTAAGGTTTTACACTAAAATAGAGAGTGCCACAATCCTTTCTTGGCACCCCAGGATTCCTAAGACTACAGTTTAAAACGAAGGACCAGGGAAGCCAGGAATAATGGAAAAGTCATATAAAAGGCTAGCTACGGGGTGCCTGGGTGGCTCAGTCAGTTGAGTGTCCAACTCTTGATCTCAGTTCAGGTCTTAATCTCAGGGTCCTGAGTTCAAGCCCAGCATTGGGCTCCATGCTAGGCATGGAGCCTATTAAAAAAAAGAAAAAGATACTATCTCAAGCTCTTTAGTGAGCTAACTCTGCCACCTTACAAGTAATTTATTTTCTATACTTCAACTTCTTCACCTGTATTAAAAATGAAACTGCACCAATTATCCCACTTCAGCTTCACTGATCTCACTCCTCAGCTGTAGCCACCTGGCAATCATACACTAGGGATGGAATTCTCAAAAACAAGTCATGGCATTAGTTTAAGAATAGGGATGAGAAGACACACTAACTCCACTGCAGTAAACATTCTACTCATTTGTGTGTGTATAGCTCCTAGCTTTGAGTTTATAACTTCTGAAGTATGTGAATTTTTGCATATATTTTCTCCCACTAAGACAATAAACCCCACAAAGATAGGGAATGTCTTTAATGTATCTCCAAACCACCCAGCTCACTCCGTGTCTAGCATGCTGTCCAGAAAGGCCAATGGTGGGGCACCTGGGTGGCTCATAGATTGGGCGTCTGCCTTTGGCTCAAGTCATGATCCCGGGGTCCTGGGATCGAGTCCTGCATCAGGCTCCCTATAGGGAGCTTGCTTCTCCTTCTGCCTGTTTCTCAGCCTCTGTGTCTCTCATGACTAAATAAAATCTTGAAAAAAAGAAAAAATTAAAGGCCAATGGTTGAGAGGCATCACAATTCCCTGGCTAAAGCAGGAGAAAGCAAGTAACATCCTGAGTAGCTGAAAACTTGGAAAGAACAACATTCCTAGCCCAGTTTAGAAGTGCCCTTCCCTTCAGAACTTCCCCTAAGATGGAGAGTTCTCTGGAATATCTATGTCTACTGGACCTTGTTTATCTTCCTTGATGCAGACTCATTTGAGAAGCCAATTACATTTGGGAAAATATACTCTCTTCCCCAAAGCTGGGCAAATAGGCAAGTAGATTCAATCTACCACGTGTGAAGGTTGGTGTGTGGCAGCGAGAGACAGGAGTGAGTTTGTTTCTCCTTTGGGTGATGGTCTTTTCTAGAATACATTCACAAGCAGTTTTAAACTTCTTGCACTGGCAGGATTCTGGCGAGGCTCGGGACATGGTGAGGAAAGAAGTCACTCTGCCTCCTGCTGGCCATGAGCAGAAAGGCTTGAGTTCTTTTTGGCTTATTACTAGAGGTCACATTTCTCTTTCACAAAACAAGAACTTGTGAAGGAATGGAAGACCGAAAGGGAAAAGAGGGGCTTCTCTTTTTTTGCTTAGCCTGAACTGAGCTCTGGTGTTCATAAACTATTTAGATCAAATTCTTCATTTTGTGAGCCAAAACCTGAGGTTGATACATCTTCTCCATTAGCTATAGAAACAAAACAATAGACAGGAGTCAGGAAAAGCCCCGATCTTTGTGCTGACATCTCTGTTCCCTCTCCCTGAGTGATGGAAGCAGGGAGTCCAGTCACATCCCACATTAAGAGCCCCTGTTCCTTAGAACTCAGGGTCCCACACCAGCTTCTCCCCTGAATGGGGTCTTCAGTTTCATTTTCTTCCCTTTCCCCAAACCCCAATAAAACACACCAACTGCTTCAGAATATTTCTGGGTTGTGTTTTTTTGTGGGTCGTCTTCTTTTTTTTTTATTTCAAATACTGAAAAAGTCCCTTGGGCTCTGTGGGGTTCCCCACGCTCATGGCCCCCTTTCCCCCACACTTACTGCCCTTCTCCCCACAGCAAATCTATTTCAAAGACAGCACTTTCTTCAATGAACAATTAACATTAATTGTGTTCTCAACTTGGCTCTGCAGAACCAGAAGAGCTGTTTGCATCTGTCATATTTAGATGGACAGTTTCTTTTATCTGATACCAGATCCCCAGGCACAAGCAAACAAGGTGTTTTTCTACAGAGCTGAATTAGAACTCCTCATCTGGAGTCTACTGCACTCCTCCCCCGCACACCCATCCTACACAGGCCAAATGGTTAGGAAGGATAGTCAGGAATGCCTTTATCAACTCCGAGCCCTATTTCGTACCCCCACAAATTTACCACCCCACCCTCTCAAAACACCACACCCATGCCAACCCCCACACCCCCTCCCACCCCCACCAGGATTTCACTGAGATTTTTCCCAACAGTTATTTGGAAAAAAGATAAAACAAAAAAAGGTTCAGGGTCTTGGTGCTCAGCCCAAGGGGCTCCATGCGCTGGGACACCGACGGGCAGGGGCTTCTGCCTCTCCAGCCCGCGCCCGAGCCACCTCCTGACCCCTGGCTGCAAAAACAGGGAGGGGGAGGAGCCAGCACAGGACCCAGGAGGGCAGCGTCTCAGGATCTGGCGGAGCCCCGGGCAACATCATTCAACTTGGCCACTGTGGATGAACACAGAAGAAGAAAAAGAAAACACTGTCAAGTAATAAGGGAAAAAACCCCGAAGTTCCATCCCAGTCCCAAGCCCATGACTCTTCCATACTTAACAATCATTAGGCTACCTGGCACAAGCCTAAATCCAATCCACAGAGTTGGAGAGAGGAGAGAGAGAGGAAGAGAGGGGAGGGAAGAAGGGAGAGTAAAGGGAGAGACAGGGAGACGAGGTGGAGGAGGAAAAAGGGAGACCGAGAGAGAGGGGGCAAGGTCAGGAGAGAGGGAGAGAGAATTTCAGGTTTTCTACTAACCACAAAACAAAGTGTTCTCCATCTTTCTGGAGATACCCATGAAAACAATACAGAAATTCTTTAGGTAAGATCAAAGTAACTGGAGGTTTGCAGGGGCTTAAGTGGCCTGGGTTAGAACAGGCTTGATTTCACAGGCATAGCCAAAGCCACTTGCAGCAGCAGAGACTGTTGGGCACACGGTGATGAGGTGGTGCGGCACGGGAGCCAGGGCCTGATAACACACATGTTGTTATGAGTGGATTTAATAATCTAATAATTTAAAAAGGGAGACTTGGATTTGGTTTTGGAAATGACCCTTCTTTGCCATGGAAGTATTTCATGCTCTGGAAACAGGTGGCAAATATAGAACATTGCTTGTTTTTTTTAGCCTTGAAGATGACCAGGTAGAGAGTCAGCGAGACCAACAGTTTTCTGGTTTCCTTATTTTTTCTATTTCTTCCTAAAATTCAGACTTGTGACCTCAGTCTTGAGTATTTAAGTGACCAATAGAGAAAGCAGCTCAGACAGAAAAGAAAAAAGTACAAAATTTGAGAAGATCGGAGATGAAGAAAACGTACAAAATTATATATATATTTATATATATAATAACATGACATATCTATGTACAACATGGCTGGGACAGTTGAGGAAACTATACAAAGATGTTCAGCATTTTCCCCTTCCCACACGGACTTTAGACTAAGGAAGACAGCATGAGGAATGGAGCAAGAAACACAAAAATTATATACAGTTACAAGTGACAGTCAAGGAATCTGGGGGCAGGGAATCCAGGGATCCTGCTCTCTCCATTCCTTCCTCACCAACTCTCTCCTATCCAATCTGAGTGACAGCCTGAAAGTGAATGGCCAGTCAGGAAAGAAGCATACACATCTACCACCTACCCCGCATGTGCATCAGCAAGTTCATGGTCATTCTCATCAGGTCAAATGTTTTGGCATATCAGAATTATGAGGTGAGAGGGCACGAGAGTATTACAGAAATCTTGTCCTCTTTAACAGTTCTCACTCTGACCCTCTCTGTCCTAACTAGCAGTAGGACTCAGGCCAAGTTAAAGAGGCTGAGGGTGCTGGCCACCTGCACCCCTCTCCTCCACCTGCTCACAAATCTGCATTGCTGCTTCTCATCTCACAGGAGCTGAGTTACTGAGCCCTAGGAAGGCAGAGATTTCTTAATGTTCCTTTTCTCTCTCCCTGACCTGACTACCTTCCTCCACCAGCTTCTTCCAAGGTGAATTATCTACTAAGAACCTGCTGCTCTAGCCCTGCCCTAGTACCAAGGCAGAGGCTGGCTTCAGCTTGTCCCTTTTCTTCTGGTCTCCCTAACAATACACCTGACATCTGATTAATCTCAAATGTGGGACTCCACCACATATGCGTGACTGAACATGTGTTCTCAGGCCCGCAGCTTGGCGGCTAGAGCAGCTTTTTAGCAGCAACGGTCTGGACTGGAGGGCCAGGAGAGTGGATGGGGACAGAAGCAAGAAGCTTCTACAGAAGCTAGCTTCTTAGAACTTTTTCCTTGACCCTTAAGACCATGATATTTATGAGGCCCTCTTGCCTACATCTATAACCCTCAAATCTCAACTTCCTGTCTTCCCATGTCTTCTTCAAATGGTTCCCCTCTTGGGCTCACCCCTAAGCCTTCCTCACTTAGTTTTACAAATAATAGCAGAGACTTTTTTTCAGCTGGCAGTTATACGATTTTTAAATTTGAATTAATCTTATCTATATTCAGCTCTTTTACAGATGAGGAAATAGAAATCCATAGAGGTTAAATGACTTGACCAAGGTAACACATCAGTTTTGCTGAGACGGAGTGCAACTAGAACCCAGATATCTTAACTCCAAACGCAATGCTCTTTCCACTACCCCATGATACTTGTAAAAGCAGCATGCTGGAAGAGAGAGAGAAGGTGCCCACTTCATGTAAATGATGTTCTCCAAACTTTACATTACTTAAGAGCCAGGGCAAACTGTCAGAGATGCTCACTGAGTAAGGGAGGTTAAGTGGGCATTACAGTTTTAGGCAAGCAAATCAGTTTTCCTTTTTGAGGATTTTCTAAACCTGCTATAATGGAAACACGAAGCAATAGCAGCCTAAGGAAAAACACTTAGAAGCACAGAAAACAGATCTCATTCCATCTACCTTTCCCAACTATGTCAAGTTAGCCTCTGGATGTAAAACTACCATACTATTCCCAAGGCTTAGCCTAACCAATTTTGGGATATTCTCTTCCAAAAGGAAAAATCACATCTCCTTGGTTTCTCATACAAAAGAAAAAAGAGCATTTGCAGCATTATCCAGTCCTATTCTCTTACTTCTGGGCCTCTACCTGGGCTACAGTGTGGGTGTGGAAATCTCAATTTAATCAAAGAAATGAACTTGAACCCCTTTTCAACCCACATCATCTTCTCAGCAGCCCCCAGCAGAATCACAGTCATTTCTGGCTAGCAAGCTGAGAAGATCTAACTAGGTGCTCATTCCATCCCTGCCTATGACATATAAAAGTCCTGTGGGTGAGGAAGGGGACAGAAGGGGGGCCCAGGTTACCCCGCAAGCTTGCTGGTGACGAGCGAGGACTTTCTCTGGGGCAGATCCTGTGGGGTGGGGATGTGGTCACCAGTCACCAGGTTCTTGTCTGGTCCTGCACTTGGCAGCTGCTTATTCTTCATCTTGGCTTTGGCCATGTTGTAGTCTCCTGAGTCAAAGTACTTTTGCTAAGAGACAAGAGGGATGTTTAAGTGAGTGAGGAACTCTGGTCTACCTAAAAGCAAGGAGACTCACATCCATTATAAAACCTTCAACAGTGCTTAGATCTTTCCAGTCTTCCTTGATTAACTTCATACACACATAGTTTAGCATTAATGACATGTACTTAGGTCTTCTCCCAAATGTGTTCTGACTTTTTCAGGTATATAAGCAGTTTCCTAGCTAAGGCTTAGATTTTAGAAGTTAAGAGATAGCCCCTACACCCTTTATACACCCATCAGTACAGTATGGTTCAACCAAATTACTGACTGTTCATAAAGCCTTACTGAGGACCAATCAGTTAGTCTCCAGTGGGCTTGGTGCTGGGGAAACAAATGAGTAAGATACACAGAAGCATCAATCTGGGGCTATCCTAGCAAACAGCAGGAGAGCAACCTCAAGTCAAAACCTTAAAATTAAAAATGATTCCCTCAGACCATGAATAGAAACTGGGCTTTTTCCTGAGGATCATGTCCTCTTCCTCTGACTCCCACTGCTCCCACACATGTTCCATGGCTGTGACAGCCTGCCCACGCCTGCCTTGCCTACAGCAAGGTAAACTGCAAATCAGCATCACATCATCATCTGTGACTAAGACTCAGTAACTAGGATTTTCCACAGGAATCTGTTTTACTGTTCATTTCATCCACACCGAGGAATACACACCAGGTTTAATGACATATATATATAATGCCTCAGTTAGCTTTAGGTACAAATGGGGACAGAGAAACCTGATCAGGAGCTAGATGGCTATGAAGGCAGACCTTCCGTAAGAAATCTATTCACTTCAACTTGAAGAAATCTATAGAACAGATGGTGTGATCTTTTTTGAAATCATCCACCCCCAAAATTTAGCTCTAATCTTAAAAAATGCAAGTCTAAAACTCCCACCATCTAAACACAGAAATCCCTGGGGGAGTCAGCATTTCAGTTCCTAATGTCCTTCTTTCTCTCAATCCCCCAAAGCCCCCATACCTAAATGTCTCAACATTAAGCCTTAATATCCTGTAGGATACCATATCAGGGATTTATAATCATTTGCCTTGCTCTTTACAAGTTTCTAATTCCTCTCTACAAACTGCCCAATAACAAAACCTCCAGATAAGTATTCAGGAGCAGCTCTACAGATCTCATTCCTAAAGCCCCCTTTGACTTCAAAGTAAGAAGATATTTTGTCCCATACCCCTTTCTGGAGTCTCTTCATGAGGAAGTCGGAGCCTCCAGGCTTTTGTCCTAGGCTTGGATATTTGGCCTTTAGCTTTGCCTCCTCGGCTCTCTCAGGGAGAATACCTTCTTTCTCCTGTGTGTCCTGGAGGAAACAAATAGGCCAATTTAAATTAAAAACTGAGAAGGAACTGCTTCTAATATCTAAGAACTTTCATACTATCAACTTTTCCTGGAGATCCACGCCCTTGTGAACATACTGTCTCTATTCTGCTCCTAAATAAAGCCAGACCTTTGTTCAAATCCTAACGCTCTCAAGATGACTGTATTGTGAGGAAAAACAGAACAAGCTGCTTCTCACACTACACCCAAAGAACAGCTTCAGTGACCTGGGAGATTGGGTTAAAGATAATACCTAAACAAAATACTTCAATCAAGGGCAAACCATAGGTCGTTCAGCACAGAAGGTAGGAAAGTTCCCTGGCTGTCCCTAACACACAGTACAAGTCAAACAGAAAATAAAAGGGGATAATTCTGCTGAGATGCTTCCTCTTATCCAGAGTCTACAGTAGTCATCTGATAAGTGTTTCTATGGAAGAGGCTAAAGCTATGTGGCCTTCTCCAAAAATCTCCACTTAGTAATGGAACAACATTGCTTTAACATTTCCATAAACATTAGGTAGGAAAGTGACAGATAAACAGAAATGAAAAGGACATTATTTTTAACCTCAGGAAAATTAAGATACAGGAGGCTCAACAGTATTTACTCACAGTTTTTGCCAAAAAGTCAACACCTTCTCTAGTGGGGCAAGTGATGGAAGTTTGGGGAACATGCCAAGAGCCTGCAATTGGTTTGTTAGTAACCAGTGTTACTATCTTCTTGCTTTTTGTGGGCCCCAATGCTCTTTGTTGACTTTTTAAAAGGACCTAACGCCAATTTGTGGCTCTTTTCAATGTATTTATATTCCCTTCCCTTGACAATCCAGCATGATTGTAACCAGGTGCCTTTTATGAACCCCCGAGCCCAGCACTAAAATGTTGTATGTCAAATACAAGCCCCAAGAAGAGGTTTACTTGGGGTGTTTTCATCACAGAATTGTTGAACTAAGTCCCATTGCCTTGGAAGTCGGGGTGGTGGTGGAAATAGAGTGATGTCTTTCTTGTCACGACTCTTTTGGTGTCTTTTCTAGATTTAGCCTCCATTATCCTGTATGGAACTCCAGTCCTCTTCAAGCCTATTCGTTCCTGACACACCGTGGGCAACCGACCATCCCCAACCGTCAAAACAGGTCTCTTGAGAAAGTTGCCGCCTTAAACTAGCCATGATAAAGACTTCTCCTTACGCCCAGTGCTGGTCTTTTAAACGTCTTTCCCTACATCTTTCTGATGTAGGCCCCAGCCGGGTGGTTGGGTAGTTTACCTCCATTAACCAATAACACACATCGTTTTCCAGGTACCACCAGCCCCCGTTCATTCAACCCCGTCTTTCCAAACACCCGCCCCGCGCCCCGGCTTGGCCAACGATAGCGCGACCTCTATGAGGAAAGCGGTAGGCCGAATGGCCAATCAGAGAGAGTATGGCACTGACGGACAATGGGCCCAACTAATCAGCGCCAGAGCTGCAAGCGGTGTTGAGGCTCACCCGGCGTGATGCAAGCAGTGGCCAACCCCCGCAGAGCTTGAGACCATGGCGACCAATCCGCACTGGTGAGAGATCGTCTCCCGCCCCACCACAGTCGCCCCCGGCTCGCCCGCCCGCACCCCCTCCATTTCACCTGCTTCTCCTCGCCGGTCTCCTCCGCAGGGTTCTCCTCTTCTTGTTTCTGGGACATGGCGGGACCAGGGCTGTGGAGTGTAAGGGGCCCGGGAAATCGATCGGAGAAGGGAAGGGGGAGGGGAAACGGGGACAACCTGCTCTGCTTCTTCGGCTCCTGTCACTAGGGTTGCTCAGTCAAAATGGCGGCCCTTGCCTGTGACGTTGTGGCCGCCCCTTCCTATGGGAGCCAATGGGAATGGGGTAGCTGGGGCAATGACGTAACGATCTGCCAATCGTCGCTGGGTAAAGGTGGGGTCTTTGGAGGCGACAGGCAAGCTGGAACACCAATCTGGAAAGAGAGTGAGACCTAAGAACCAATTGGAAGCCCGTGTGTGTGTGGGTGAATCTTAGGGGGCGGTGCTGCTGGCTTTGGCATTTTTGCTGGTTTGGGGGGACCAGGCTTACTTCAGCTGTAGCACCAGGTGCCTGGGAGGCATTGCTGAACTTCAAAACTGGAGAGCGAAAGGATGGAGACGATTCAGTTTTGCGCAGTATTAGCAGAAAATGATCAATCTCTAGGGATCCCTGGGTGGCTCAGCGGTTTAGCGCCTGCCTTTGGCCCAGGGCGCGATCCTGGAGTCTCGGGATCGAGTCCCTCCCGGCATGGAGCCTGCTTCTCCCTCTGCCTGTGTCTCTGCCTCTCTCTCTCTATGTCTGTCATGAATCAATCAATCAATCAATCAATCAATCTTTAAAAAAAGAAAGAAAGAAAATTCTCAATCTCCAGAAAATAATTTGGAGGTCAGAGTGCACCTTACATTGGTAGTACTGTTGCTATGTACGGACTTGGCGAATGGAGCAGAAAGACTGAGGCCCCAAACCAAGGTGTCTTGCACAGATGGCTTTACGTTCCATGATTTAACTCCTCTGCACAGTTTTATACGTGTTCAGAGTCAGTCCATAGAGAGTAAGATCCTTGAAACGGAAAGCACGGTTCTAGGTATATGGTAAGCCTTGAGTAGATAGCACTAGTTAAGGTATCTCGAGTCACAGCTCAACATTTCTTGAGTGTTTGTGTGTAGATAGTAATGAATTTATTTTTTAGGGGTACATATAGAGTAAGACAGTCTCTGCCTTTAGAAGGCTTAGTTTAGAGGGCATGTGGGGAGGGTTTCGCAGTGTGCCAGGTGTAACCTAAATCCCCGAGATTATAGACATGTCTTCCTGGAGTGTTAGTCCCCATTTTTATATTAAAAACAAACATAAGGGCAGCCCCAGTGGCGCAGCGGTTTAGCGCCGCCTTCAGCCCCGGTGAACCCGGGATCGAGTCCCACGTCGGGCTCCCTGTGTGGAGCCTGCTTCTCTCTCTGTCTGTGTCTCTGCCTCTCTCTCTCTCTCTCTCTCTCTCTGGATAAATAAATAAAATCTTAAAAAAATAAATAAAAGCAAACAAAAATAAAAACAAACATTAGTTTAATACTAATAATGTTGCAAAATTCATATTAAAATTAAATTTTCCAGGCAGCTTCTTGTGACGGCCTTAGGGCTCTCTGATCATTTTTCTGTATAATTAGATGTACTTCTGAAAAAGTCTGAGAAGAACTTGTAATACACAGATTATTATATAAGGCAAAATCTAGTAAGCATTGAAATAAAAGTGTTAATAAAGTGCTGTGGGGGTGCAAAGGAAGACTAATTCAGTTTAGATTGAAAAAACAAACACGAGGGAGGTGATATTTGAAATATATTTTGTTTTAAGAGAATGAGTGGGGGGAGCAGAGAGAATATTAAGGCGGCTCCACTCCAGAGAGGGGCTTTAACCCGTGTCCCCACGATCATGACCCAATCTGAAATCAAGAGCCAGACCCTTAATTGACTGAGCCACCCAAGCACCCCTGAAATAAGTTTTAAAGAACTTAGCAGTTGGCTGCATAAAGATGAAGGAAGGAAGGGTATTCTAGGTGATGGGCTCAAAATGAAGGCCAGAAAGACAGAATTGAATGCAGATATGTAAGGCTTTGAATGCCAGGATAAGAAACTTGTGAATAATTTAGTAATTCATGAAAGACATTTAAGACTTTAAGGATAGGTAGTGGCAGTGAATAAGTAAATCTTTAAAAAAAGAAAAGAAAAAGACGGAACAAAAGCAATTGCATATGGTTAAAGAATGTGGAGGTGGTGGGACACCTGGGTGGTTCAGCAGTTGAATGTCTGCCTTTGGCTCAGGGCCTGATCTGGGATTCTCAGGATCAGGTACCCCATTGGGCTCCCTGCATGGAGCCTGCTTCTCCTCTCTCTGCCTCTGTCTCTGCCTCTCTTTCTGTGTCTCTCATGAATAAATAAATAAAATCTTTTTTTAAATAAAATCTTAAAAAAAAGTATGGAGGTGATAACAATATTTAACAGTAAAGCAAAGAAGGGAATTAGGGCAATGAATTGAAGAGGAAGCAGCAGAGGATTTTTTTTTTTTTTAAACAGGAAGGGTTCAAGCATATTTTCAGAAAGGACAAAGGGCTAATTGAGAGACACTAAAAATTTAATTATCCATTTTAAGGAGGAGATAATAAAAGAATTAAAGTCTCAGAGGAGATCATTAGATCAAGAGGGAGAGAGGCAGGCAGGTTGGTGGGGAAATATACAGAGAGAGTTTGAAGGAGCTAAACATTTAGGGAAGTCACATTGAATGGCCTTTTTGTTTCTTTTCTTTTTAAGATTTTATTTATTTATTCATGAGAGACACACAGAGAGAGGCAGAGACATAGGAAACCTGATGAGGGACTCGATCCAGGACCTAGGGATCACACCCTGAGCCAAAGGCAAATGCTCAACCACTGAGCCACCCAGGTGCCCTATTGGCTTTGCTTGTCTAAGGCCAATTTTTTGAAAATAAAAAAGGGTGGGATAGAGAATCTAGGAAAAAGAGGGGTAGAAATAGCACTATAGGAAATAGCAATGATTCAAGTAGGAATAGATCAGTAGGAAAGATCTGAGATTAGATAGGTATGAATTTGTAATAGTCCTAATCACCATGGCTTTGGTCAATAACTCTCCACTGCCTTGGAATGGAGAAAACAGACATCCTGTTAACAAGGGCAAACGACTAGAAAAGAAGGAATGGTAGAAGGACAATGAGGAAGTCTAGATTGGTTTGTTGAAAATTCTGGCCATGGCATCTAGGCTCTTTGGGAAAGACAGAATAGAAAGGAGATGAAGAATTGGTCATGACACAGATGAAACTCAGATTTAGTGGGAATGACAGAGAAAGGCAGAAAAGTAGGAGGTTGCAGTGAGAGGGGAGTTTTAAGGTCTATCTAGGAAGGTGGAGAAATTATAGGTTATGATGAGCTCCTATAGTTAAAATTGATGGCAGATATGGCATGGCTATAAAGTCACTGACTTTGATGTATTCAAGTAAATGTGGAATCACAAATGAAGTCTCAGAGCATAATGATAGGGAAGGAGGTTAGGATAGGGTAACTGTGACCCCTATTTTGGGAATGAGCTATAGGTCTCCAACATATGTATTTAAATATGTAAGGCACCACATTGTAATACCTAGAATATTAGGTAAATGTGTACAACACTTACCAAATGACTTGCATTTGTAACTGTTTAAAAGATCATTCTGGCTGAACTGGTCAAGGAATGTTTCAGACCAGGCAGAACCTAAACTGGGACAATAAAGATGATTAGGAAGGTTGGAGATTGGCAGGGGAGGGAGGAAAGGAAGACAATTTAGAGGACTACCTTATGTTATTAAAATTTAGAGGGTCACTGAAGACAATGGAAAAGGGAGAAAGAAACTATAGCAAGAGTTACAACTTCCTAGAGGAAGAGATATCCTACTGATTCAATCTGTATTTTTGAAGAGCTCCCTAAAGACTCTCTACAGATAAGGTTGATCTGGGAACCTGTGTAGAAGCAGCAAAACATGAAGTTGTTTAGGTTGCTGGGGTCCTGAGGAGACTAGTAAATCATGCTAAAGTGTTGGGGTTTCATGAAGACAAAGGGAAACCTGATTTCAAGCAGAAAATGTTATCGTTAGACTTGAGATTTGAAAAGATTTAACTGAGGTAGCTGCATGGAGCGTAGACTTGAGGGAAAGGGGAAGCCAGCTGGACCTCAGACTGTGGTAGCCCAGACAAGACTTGAAGAGGCCTTATCAAAGACACAGGCCATGTGAATACAGAGGAGCTGAAAAGACAAATGATGTAGGGAATAAAGATGAGGACAGAACCAAGGATGAATCCTAGGTTCCTGAGTGAAATACCATTTACAGGAAAGCAAATCCAAAGAGAAGAGCAAATTGGAGGATATAAAGTAAAGAGAAATGGGGACCTGAACTTCCTACCTTTCAGGTTTTTTTTCTTGCCTATGTCTGAATTTTTCAGGTCAGTACCTAAATCTGTTCAGAGTATGAGATGGGATATCTGGGAATAACACTGTAAAATTTGTCAGTGCTTTAGCTACATTCTACAGAAGAATGGACATTTAAAAAAAAAGTGAGACTGCAGAAATATCTGCATTTAAGACCTAGGCTATTAGCACCCTCTGATGGGCCAAATTGAGAACATCAGGAAGTTAACCAAGCTCTATCCTTTCCTTGCCTCCTTTACAAACTTACACTCTTAGGGCAGCCCCAGTGGCTCAGCAGTTTAGCACCGCCTTCAGACCCAGGATCCAGTCCAGAGTCCCACGTTGGGCTCCCTGCATGGAGCCTGCTTCTCCCCCTGCCTGTGTCTCTGCCTCTCTCTGTGTGTCTCTCATGAATAAATAAATAAAATCTTAAAAAAAAAAAAAAAAAAAGAATGGGCCTGAAGCGTAGCCTAGGGAAAAGTAGCTAAGTGATCAGAATAATACAGTGTTAGAGATAATTTTCAAAAAAGGAAAATGATGGAACAAATAAGGTATTAAAGGAGAATCTGAAGAGAGACACATACATAGACAATTAAGAATGCTGAACTGAACTAGCTAATAGAGGTAAAATTAGTATCTACAGCACATACAATGTTTAGGATGAGCATTTTCACAGGGTGGTAAGCAATTGTATCTCACAGGAAGAAATTCAGTTGTCTATGAATAAGAATCATTTGCATTGCCACCAGTTTTCTCAACTTAGAAATTGTAAAATAGTTCAAAGACACCAGAAGATTCTGAAGATTCCTCTAGACAATACCCAACAATGTCTTTGCTCATTTCAAAGTCTTTTATAATTTTTCCCATGA